AAGGGAAAGGATAGAGTGATTTCGGTATATAATTTTTCTTAAGAATTTGAAAATTCCTAGGATGAGAAAAATATGTTTTGTGTTTATGTGTATTTTCAGTATATTGACATGAAATATTGACTGACATATTGTTCTCTAAGTGTGTATCCGAAAACAAATTTAGCCAAGTAAGATTAAAAATGGCAAATATTCTGAAAAAGACAATAAATCTAAAAATGTGTAAGAAGAAAAAAATATTAATTTTCCGGAAGCAAATCAGTGTTCAATTGGATTTTTAATTTGTTAGAGTCGTATTGCTAATAACACAATATCTCTTAGGTTCAAATTTCAGCTTTTATATTCGTCCCAAAAGGGAAATTCTATTATTCTGGAAAATTGAATATCCATACAGTTTATGCCACCATGTTTAGCAAATACAGTGAAAATAATAATAGCATATATTATGTGCTAAAATGTGATTATTTGTTGAATGAATTGATTTGCCTATGTGTTATTCTATTTCAGTAGGTAACTTGCTAGATATGTGACTTGAATTTACTTTAAAATATGGGACTTGTTAATTATCCAATGCGATAATGTTGTCTTGAACTAGTATTTTTATTTATGTATATGTGCTGAATGTCAGCATTCCTCCAAGGGTTAAAATAGATATCTATCAACTTACTACCCAACCTCCTTAAGTAGAAATTCCATAGCTTGATCTGACAAATGTTTGTCTTCAACCTGCCTTTAACATATCAGGTGGCTTTTGCCAATATATGTAAAAATAATATAACAGTTATAACTGTAAATTAATTGTATTTGATTTATGGATAGTCCTTGACATATGACCACAATTGAGCTCAAAATTTCCATCGCTAGGCAAGGCAATAGTTAAGTGAGTTTTGCCCCGTTTTACGAACTTTTTTGCCACAGTTGTTAAGTGAATCATTGCAGTTATTAAAGGAATCTTGCAGTCATTAAGTGAATAGCTTCCCTCATTGACCTTGCTTGTTGGAAGCTGGCTGGAAAGATGATCACAAATGGTGATCAAATGACCCTGGGACAGTGCAACTGTTATACATACATGCCAATTGCCAAGCATCCAAATTTTGATCACATTACCACGGGGATACTACAACGGTCATAAGTGTCAAAACTGGTCATAAGTCACTTTTTCAGTGCCATTGTAACTTTGAAAGGTTACTAAATGAATAGTTGTAAGTTGTGGACTACTTGTATATGCTTCTACTTTGTATCTCAGTTTTGTCTTCTAAAAAGTGAAAATTATTTTGAAGGTAAAGGTGTCATACTTAGACATAGGGGAATGCTTACATCCCTATTCTGGAATATATTAATTAACAGTTAAATCCAAATAAGATACAATAGTAATAAATTGTAATATTGATATTGTTTTCATAAATGTTGAAATAATCAGATAAGTTTATAATGGCCACCATATTGTTTGTTGTTTGTGATACCATCTGAATATTCTTGCAAGAATGAATCATAATCTCATCAGACTTTGGTCTTGATTGAGGTATTGTAATTTATGATTCAACATATTCAAAAATTGTGTGTCAGGTAGTGCAGGGGTTGTCAAACTTTTTTAGGCTCTGAAATCTAGTTTGGGTCCATGAAAGGAAGCTGACATCCTTCAGGAGGCTGCTTTTTCAGCCAGCCACTAGAGACAAAAGGGAGAGAAATCCAAGCAGATTTTCACTCTTGAGCAAAGATGCACGGGAAAGAACACTAGGGTTTCACAAAACATGATTTGGAAAATTTTGAACTAATAAGTTACCTACATTTAAAAAAAAAATATTTGAGTGAAACTTCTGATCCATGAAAATTAAAAAAATATGTACCATCCATTTTGTTAAGATTATTTTTATTAGTCTTTCAAAGTACAGGTTTCTTATTAATATTCTTGTGACCCAGCAAGTTAATCCCCTGTTTTAATAGATCTTTTAGATCATTGACACCAAATAGATACTGGTATTGGCAGAGATTATAACTTAGTTTTTGTGATGTGCTCACTTGAGCATTTTGTATCGTGTGCAGCATAGTGAACATGGACAAGAGAAAGAAAAACAGAGAGTTGCCTGAGGAGGAAAGGAAGAAGGTAATAGCCGAGCATGGTAAAGGTAAAGGCTATAAAATGTTCCCTAAAGACCTTCATGTACCTGTGACCAAGCTTGCTAATATCAAGAAGTTTAAAGTCCACGGGATCATAGGTAACCTCCTTGGATGTGGCCGCAAGAGAAAAATTGACTCCAGATTGAATAGAAGGATAGTTTGAATGGTGGAGAAAGAACCAAAGGAAACTTAAAAACAGATGCTGGCTGTGATCCAAGTTCATGATACAGGTAGTCCTCGCTTAACAACCACAATTGGGACTAGAATCGTGATTATTGAGTAAAACAATAATTATGCTAGATGTCACATGACTACTTCACTCAGTGATGGCAATCCTGACACTTCTGGATGCAGTCATTAAGCAATCATGCAGGTTGTAAAGCAGGCAGGGTCCCAGGTAAGGAATGAAGGTGCCTCTCAGAAGGGGGAGTCCCTGGGAACTCCACTCAGGAGCTAAACATCCTTTCTGCAGGATTTTCACTCCTTAAGGGAAAGACGGTCATGTGCTGCCTGCACTGGAGATCCCAGGGGCTCCCCCACCCCTTGAGACATCACACACCTCTTACTGCATTGTCTCTCCATTCAGGAGCTGAAAGTCCTCTCTGTCAAAATCCAAGCAGGATTTTCAATTCCTGAATGAAAAGACACTCGTGCATGGCTTGCATTGGGCCTTCCCACCCATCTGAGGCATCCTTCACTGTCTCCTCTCAAAAGCTGAAATTCCTTTTTTTTTTAAATTTCAGCTCCCTTTTGTCTCTAGTGCAGGGGTGTCAAACTCGCAACGTCACATGACGTGTCATGACTTTTTTCCCATTGCCGGCAAAGGGTGGGCACGGTTTCGGCATGACGCATCCGGCCCGCAGGCTGGCAGTTTGACACCCCTGCTCTAGTGGCTGGCTGAATGAGCAGCCTTCCAAAGGATGTCAGCTCCCTTCTATGTATGGAAGAGATGTCTAGTATTGATGAGTTTCCCTCAACAATTTAAAATATCCCGTGTGAACATACAGTTTGAGAACCACAATGTTAGCTAACTGTTCCTTATTGTTATAAGAACGAATAAGCAATAATTTGATGTTAAATTAATGATTTCCCATGGGACTACTCAAAGTTTGTGATATCTAAAATAATAAATTTGAGTGACTACTTTATGAATAAAACTAGCGATTTCATAAAAGTGGGCAAGGTGTAAATGTATAAGTTACAGTACTTTTTTTCTATAAAAAAAAAAAAAAAGGTGCCGGAACTCACACATGTCATACAACCTGCCTTGCTTAAAATTTATATTTTACAAGGAGAAGATGGTTTAATATATGTTAAATTTGAAGGACACTTTTATGCATGTCCATCTGTCATTTTGCATGTATGTCAAAAGTATGCATCAGGTTGCCCTGCTTGTTTTGAGCCATTGGTGCTCAGTGTTGGAACTACTACCTCCCTTTGTTGCTATGGAATTTGGAATTTATTAATGAAGAATTTTAGATATCATGCTTGGATTGTTGCAAAAAGATTATTATATGCCAGTATGACTGAAGTTTCCACTCAAATATGCCTGTATTCTTTTTAATTGGTTAGAAATATGTCTGTAGACATATTTGCAAACTGATAGACTGCTAAGCATCACAATGATACTACATGAAATTTCCAAGCTCTAGGCAGTGTTTTTTCTCATCCATTGACAGAAAAATCCTATTTTACATCTTTTTTGTTTCCTCTCCCTGTCATAATAACCAAGACCTATGCAAAGAGTAAAAATATTAAAATGCTCTTAAATAAACTTGATTTTTCTCAAATGTTTCTTTTAATTTCCTGATCAGTATATCATCCAAATAATGACCAGAATTTATCATAATTAGCTTTCAGGGTAAATCAGCTAGATGTTACCACCTTGCCAAGGTATGCCAACAATATAATAATCAGTAACATTCTGATTATGAAAGTGGAGCTTTAAAAAATATTGTAAACTGAAGTAGTCTTCTAAATAAGATATCTCATAGTTTTTAAAATTCTAAGATTGTCTCACTGAAATCAATGTATTTTGAAGAGTTCTAGTGAAAAAGTGACTAGTCTTATAATAAATTTTCATGGGGATGGGGAATGCCAATGGTTTCCTTTCTCCCCTTTCTTTGTATTCTTTGCCACAAGCTGGTATTTTGTAAACACATACAAAATTAGAGTTCTTAATACAGTCAAAGTGACTACATGAAATGTTGCCATCTTTTTGGTTTATCCTTTTAAAATATATGCTTACAACTTACAAATATGTTTTGTGTTAGCAGCATCATTATTATCTTAAAACATTTTGTAGAATGTCACAGAATATTATAGATTATTTTGTAATCTCATCCAAATTTACTAAGAAAAGTTATTTCAGTTAAATAAGTTTAATATGATAGTTACAGTGCAATTATATTCAAGTTTACGTAGGAATAAGTATACAATCATGTCATTAAGTGTGTTTAGGATTGCAAAGTATTAAGATTAAATAATTTTGACTGTTCATAATCAATGGCATTCGATTTTGGATAATATATAATTCAGTTTACAAATGTGTGCAACTCTAGTCCTTACTGTATATCAGAAGAAAATCAATAGAAAAGTGAATATCAGAATATGTCATGGAAGAAACATTTGTTAGGCTTGCTCCTACAAAATACTCTCTGGAAATGAGCCCTTAATTTCCCAGAATTAGTTAATTGGCATGGCTATTGCTGATAATTATGGAAGCCCCAAAATATAGAGGGTGCCCAAGTTGGCAAAAGCTGGATTTGTTGAACTTCTATCTGATGTTATTCATTTTGTGTTTTGTTTTTTTGGGGGCTATGGACTCACTTCCACCAGTTTTATTTGACAGTCTTATTCATTGTTTCCTTTTATTACAGGTTTGCTGTAAGCAATTTACAACAGCTATGACACCTGCTGTCCAAGAGAAAGCAATGAAAAGTCATGGTGTCTATATATCTTCTTTACCTTCAAGAGAGATGGAGTCCAGTGAAACACTAGCAATGGAAAATACTAGACCAGTAAAAGAGAAGATAAATGATGGTTCTACTACAAGTTTTTCTTGTTCTATTTTGGGGTTTCCTGCTTCTCAAGTCAACCACAATATTGATTGCTTTAATTTAAAATACTTTGATCCCCAGTCGTCTAAACATTGTTCTTTATTAATGAGTCCTAATTTAACATTCAGTGTAAACAATAATTGTATCCAGAAGAATTTAGAAGAGCATAATTGCTCCAAGTTGAGAAATCCTGTATGTAACAGCACTAATACACATTTCAATCAGAGTATTAATTCAGAATCTGGAGAACAGGTTAGAAGGGATGTTTTATCAGGAACAAGGAAAAGCTTTCTGGAAACAGAGAAATTACTGGATTTACACTTAAGTGAATTGAAGAACACAGAAGAAAAGCAGTTTCCAAATTGTAAGTGGTATCGGAGAAATGGCTTTTGTGGCAAGGCTTTATTTGTTAATCCTGATACAAAAAAAGGAGACCTGTTCCATCAGATGTTCCATGATGCCCCAGAAGTAACAGTAAATTGCAATCCTGGCAGCAAAGAACAGGAATTAAATTTTCGCTTACTTCAGTGTGTAAACAAGCAACAGGCTTTGTTAAATCAGGCCAAAAGAAGTCAGAAACACTTGCAAATTTTGTTGGCAAAGCATATTGTCAAACATTGTGACCAGCAGATGAAATGCTTTGTGAAACATCAGCTGCAGAGAATGAAAGCTTTTCATGATACAAACAATCCTTTGGATGGAAACTATGAAAAATGTACTACGGTTAAAGTTGAAAACAGCCTAGAAGCTAATAGGAGTAAAGACACATGGTCTAATTTGGATACTGCATCTGATGAAATCAAGCTGTTTGCTTGTTCTACAGCAGAACTGCTGTCTCAAGTGGAAGGAAGTTTGGATTCTGAAGCAACTTGTAGCAGTTCAAGTGAAGATGATGATGAACAGATTTCCAAAACAATTGTGCCAGTGTAAGCATTAAAGCTTTTTAAAATATCAGTGCTACAGATCTGCTAACAGTTTTATATACTTAAAAATTCAATGTCCATACTTAAATATTTGCATTAAAGATAAATTATTATGTTAATGATAAACTCAAAGCCAAGATCTGCAGATCTTTTGAGCCAGTTTTACTAAATGATAAATTTATACCCAGTGACTGAAAACCTGGAAGACTGCTTGTATCAGTCATCCTCAATGGGGAAAATGGGTAAATATCTTATACTGAATGGAGAGATTTTGTGGTTCTATTTAATTGAGTTTCATTGTTTAGTCTTCATATAACTTATTTTTCTCAGCTACCCATTTCTCCCCCACACTCCAATTGTAATGGAAAATATATTTTTCTCTTTAGAAGAATCCATACAGAGTACAAATAACTTTTGCTAGTTCATGCTCCCAGATGGTTTTAGAAGAACAACTGGGGAAAAAGTGTTGAGCTAACATGCTGGCAATGATTTTGTTAAGTTATATTACAGAAAATTGTAAGAATTAAACCAGAGCATGCTATATTAAGGAGTCAAACAACTGAAACAGATTCAGGGGGAAAAAAGGATGATCAAGAAACCAGAAACTTCAGACCTACAGGATAATTTAAGAATTGTTTAGCTTTGAGAAAAGGAGACTTAAGGGAAAAGTAATAGCATTCTTCAGATACTAGAAAGATAATACACAAGATTATCGAGATCTAATTTCCATTGTTTCTGAGCATAGGATATGAAATAATGTATTTAAATTATAGGAAAACATCCTAAGAAATAAAAAGCTCCTCTGTAGTGGGAGTGTTCAAGTAAAGCCTGGACCATCTGTAGGGGATACTTTGATTTCTATATAGTTAGACTTGTAAATGGTCCCTTTCAGACTGATTCTGAGATAGATGGATGGATGGGAGCTAAGAGACTGCTAAAAAAGAAGTTAATTTAATGTTACATAGTCTATTGCAGGCATGTCAAACTACTGGCCCATGGGCCGGATGCGTCACGACGAAACCGCATCCACCCCATTGCTGGCAATGGGGAAAAAGTCACGATACGTCGCATGACGTCATGTGACGTCGCAAGTTTGACATGCCTGGTCTATTGTGTAAGTAAAACAATTATGTTTTCTTAATTTTAGTCTAGGATTAAGCGTATCATGGGAACCGAAGTACAGTTGCCAATTCTCTAAGCTGTGTTTACAGAGCTACTAAAGTGCTTTAATGTAAAAAAAAGTCATGCTCAATATGTATTGTGTTGGGAATGTCAAAATTTTCTGTTAGGTAAGTATTTGTGCAGTAAATAGGTATTTTGTACACAACCTGGTTCTGATTTTATGCAAACATGTATATAGTTGATCCAATTACCTAATTTTGTACTAGCTATTCAAATTAGTATGTACTTGACCCTCAAAAGGCATTTTATCTTTTTATTTTGAGAGCCAGTTTGGTGTAGTGGTTAAGGCACCAAGTCAAAAACCAGGAGACTATGGGTTCTAGTCCTGCTTTAGGCATGAAACCAGCTGGATGAGTTTGAGCCAATCATTCTGTCTCAGCTCTAGGAAGAAGGCAATGGCAAACTATATATCTTGCCAAGAAAACTGCAGGGATTAGTTTTGTTAGCCATTTTTTAATACCAATGAGTATCAGAAAGACTGAAGTATGGGATGCAGAATTTGTGACTCTTCAACTATGGATTCCTTTTCTTTTACATTTATTTATTTATTTATTTATTTATATTTGGATTTATATCCCGCCCTTCTCCTCGCGGACTCAGGGCGGCATTGGTGGCATATACCCAGGAATTATAGAAATTAATATTCAGTATCATCTGGAGAAGAATTTCCAAAATAGAGAAAGAAAAATTCAGGACATGGCATTATTTCTTCCTCAATTATCCAATTGTTTCGTAGAATTACAGTAGTATCTGCTTTGAAATTCATCAAATTTGGTACTCAACACATTTTGATGCGAGCATTTTGTCCCAGTAATGATTGTTTGTTTGATACTTACCACACAAGCTAGACATGTCAATATCAGCTACCTTGTGACTCACTGCATTATCCCTTATGGGAAAAATTTATTTGGTACTCATTGCGCCTCCTGGAACCAATTACAATGAGTATCAAAGTTTCACTGTAATTTGTTCTGTGCCAAACATTTCAGGCTACAATAAGAGTTTCTAAAACAAAGATATAATAATGACTGTTCCTCAATTTTTGAAAACCTAAATACCCAACAGAAAGTTGAACACTGCAACAGATAGAACTAAAGTAGATGGTAATTAGAAGTTATTAACTATATAGAAAATGTCTGAGTTCTTTGGAGGCATATTAATAACACATACATTAATAACATACTCCTTCCAAAAATTATACAAGTCGTGACTAATCATACTCTAGTTGTAAGATTCTTTAGACATTTTGGCATTTTATCCAAATATGATAAAAATTAGATGTAACTATACTGCAAGTGTTTAAAAGCATTATTTGAAAAAAAAAATCCTACAACACATACTAAATATGGCCTATAATATGCTGATAACTTATACGAGCTATATATAAAGGAGAATACACACATTATAATAGAAGAATCGTATTATAGTATCAGTTTGCCCATTGCCACACATAAGAATGCTGTAGTGTCTTCCACTTCATGATTTACTAGTGGAGGTAACAAAGTATATGGCAAATATTTTGCAAGTACAAATATTCAAAGGGCAAAATATAGCATCTGTCAGAATACATTTAAGCAACTGAAGTAATTAAAGACAGTTAATCTCTTCCTAGGCTCACATATCTGCTATTTTCAACTACTCCATAATCTTTGGAAGTTTAAGATGTTCCTCATAGGTGCTATCTGTATGCCAAGATGCTTCTACATTACAAATTAGACATTACTGTTCTGAATCTCTTTATGGGACTTCAATCCAGTTAGGACACATCTTTATTATCCAGGTCTACTCTCAAGAAAATAGATTTGTTTTATTATTTTGTCTAAAATTCCTAGAGTAATATCACCCGAAAACCTCTCTTGTAGAAAGCCTCCTTAATATACAATTTGAAAGTCCACTGGATTAAGAGGAATGACACTTTCTCCAGATCTTGAAATAGAGGAAGTAAAATAAACAACAGAAACCACTCTTTTTTGCTTTATCATGTGAGATGATTTCAGTCATTGTTAGATATAAAGTCAACACCTTGTGTGTATTACCACCAATAGTTAAGGTGAGTTTGTCCAGGATTAGGATCTGTATCACATGTTCTGCCAAAGCAATACTTTTTCCATTAGTGCACAGAAAAATGATTTTCCTACAGCTGCCAGCTCAGGCACCTTGCCATGCATACCAAAGCCAAAGAACTGCATGAAAATCATTAACCTAATGGTTTGAGGACTGTTAAATTGTTACATATTCTATTCTGCAATTTAGTACATTCTTCAGCTCCTGAATATTATGGCCTATACTATGAATAATCCACTGTTTTAGACCAGAGATCCCCAACCTTTGGGCACCAGGGACCGGTTCCATGGACAGAGGTTTTTCCACGGACCGGGGGTGCGTGGTTTTGTGTGCCGCCTGCATCTCGTGGATGGGGCTTTGCTTGTTCGTGAGGACTGGTTGCTAGCATGCTGCGGACCGGTGGTTGGGGACCCCTGTTTAGATTGTCTTTTAGTAATGTGCTGCAAGCTATGTTTTATTCCCAATAGAAATAAAATGTTGATTTCATAATTAATATGATTGGGAGAATAATCACAATAGTTGAAATTAAATACGGTTAATGTAATTATTCTCCCAGCCATATATTTAATAATATTCTTCAGTGCCAAAAAATTACAATTTGGTATTTTTTTTTAAAGCCAGATGTTTGGGAGGCTGCATATGGGCTAACTTGGATATTCTACTGTTTTTCCTGAATTTGATGTTTTGCTTTATTTAATTTTTTTTTTTGTCTTGGGCTAGAACTCTTTTAAGGTTTGAGCTATAACTATATACAGCAGAATTTAGAACCATAGGAGGCATTACATTTCACAGCCTGGAATATATTTGTTTTTTCTGAGTCCACATTCTCTTTACTGCTATCTATATGCTTTCAACTTGTCATCTTAGCCGATAAGGATAAAGTCATATGTTTTCAAGGCTTATTTGGTTTAATGTTTTGGCTTTCAGGAACATGTGAGATTTAAATTCTAGCACATTGCTCATTAATATTCAAGTAACAAGCTTATTTCTTAAATTTGTTTATTAGAATTATATCCCACTTTTATATAACAACTTAGGCTATATTGTATTCTGTCCTATTTTTTCACACAACAACAAACATATCTGTGAGGTAGGTTTCACTGAAGTCAATACCACTCCATGAGCTTCGATAACTGAGGATGGATTAGAGTTGGATGGTTTTTATTGATGGATTTTAGCCCCTGTATCATTTTAGCTCCAATGTATCGTTTTCTCCCCAAATGATATATTTGGAATCTGTTTGTAATAAATTCCAAAATGCTTTCTAAATGATAATTATTACATTAATTGTAGAATATTTTTTCTATTAATAATTCTAACAAGAGAAGATAGACAGACAGTCTGAGGATTATACTATGGAATCCTGTTTACATACAATAGCTTGTTCTGTCTGTGTTGGTGGGGTTGGGGGTTTTCTGCTTGGTAATTCCTTCATTAGGGTATCGTTTTCTGCTTGCTTACTTCTTTGTCTGCTGGTAATCCCTGTTTAGCTGGGTGTTGACTGCAGGAAAGGATGTATTGTGGTCTTTTTGTTTACTTTTTTTATTAGCTCTTTTGAATGGTGTATAAACTAGTTTATCTCTAGGTGTCCACTAATGGCTGATTTGTCTGAATGCCAAGCTTCCAGCGATTCCTGTTTTTTGGATTTAACCTGGTCTAGAATGCTCATAGCTTCCCAGCTGAAACTATGTTGAGTCTGTCAATGTGTTGTGAGATTAAACAGTTCTCATCATGTGTTTTGACTTATAGTTGGTGTTCTTAAATCTGCTTTGCTTAGGAAAAATAGAAATTTACTGCTTGAACAATAATAAAACATTAAATGAATGAAAAGAAGTTAGAAGTTATCTAATCCAGAAAACCAAATACAATGAATAATAGCCTGAAGGATTGTTTAGTAGAAATCAGTACTAAGGTTATCAACTGCTCATATTTAACTGATGTAGAATTATATCACAAATGTTAATTTACTTTTAATAAAAACATAGAATACCAACATAGAACATAGAATTACAACCAGGAGGCCTTACACCGTTCTGAACAAATGGTTGTCCAATTTCTTTATGAAAATCTCCAGTGTTGGAGAGCCCACATTTTTTGGAGACAAGCCTCTCCATTAATTAATTGTGCTTACTGTCAGGCAATTTCTTCTTATTTCTAGATTGGATTTCTCTTTAATGATCTTCCATCCATTATTTCTTGCCCTGCCGTTAGATGCTTTGGAGAATAGGTCAACCTCCTCTGTGAGAGCCCCTCAAGTACTAGAAGACTGCTTATCATGTCACCCCTAGTCCACTTTGTTAGACTACACATACCTAGTTCTGTCAACTGTTCAGTGTACAGTTTAGCCTCCTTATCAGACCCCCTTATCATCTTGGTTCCTAAGAAATATTTGCATGCTAATTTATTGCCTACCATCTAAAATTTTAGCCAGAGATAAGCACTCATGAATGTACTAGTGTTCGAAAAATGAGATATACATCAAAATAGTAATACAGAATATGTATGCAATCTCAAGTCTAGACTACAGTAGTATAAACCCTCTATTATATTTATATTAAAAAAAGATGTGTTACTCTTAAATGTGAAAACTCATGCGTCTTACAGAATTTTTAAAAATAATCTGGCACAGTTAATTTATTAAAAGGTGGTTTTTAAATAAAAATTCAGAATATGTAAATTATTTTTTATAAAGTGATCAAAGATGATCATTGTTGACTAATCAATGTTCTATCTTAGTAACTGTAGATCTGACTGGAAATGGTTGGTAGAAAGAGCTAAAGTTGGCTGTCAGTGGACATGGCTTCAGGATCAGATTTCTGAGCTGGAATACAAAATTCAACAACTTACTGACCTTCACAGACAGATCCGTGCCACCAAGGTATTACGAATTAATTAAAAGTATTTATTAAAAAAACATGTTAAAGTTTTGATAGGTATTTTCTATGCAATCCATGAACTCTATACAGAAATCTTTTGAGAAATCTAAAATGGCAAATGAAAGGGTTGTCTGAAATCTAGATATTGGATTTGATGGTGGTAAACATTATTCACAATCTCCCCTCCTATTCAAAGGTTAATGGAAGTCCTTAGGTACATTCCCATGGCCTGAAAAAGGGACAACTTGTATAGTAATGTGATCCTTGAAAAGATATAAATTTTTAATTTCATGCTTAGTTGCTATAATTGCACTGGTTATAATTTTTTCTGGAGTACTTGATAGGAAATAATGGATAATACATAAACATGGAGGAACAAAAACACAGTTTCATATACTTAGCAGATTGATTGCAGTAGGCCAAAACATCTTCCATTATTTTTTGCTTCCTAACTATTACTTACAGTAAATTTAGATTTTCAGTTTTTAATTTAGTGTAACTTAATATATGGAAGGATATTTTTTTTAAAAAAAAATTTAATTCCTGATACTTATAATCAATATTTTTATAATCTACTATGCATATTAATCTTTGTCCAGAGGAGAACTAAGAAGAACGTTTTCTTGCCAGGTTTTCCATCTTTTTCTTGATAGTGGGAGAAGAAGTTTGACTATTACTGTATATCAGAAAACCAAAACCAAAAAATAAAATAAATCCCAGCTAGAATAGTGTGTCCTTGTCTGGCTGACTTTATCTGGCTCAGAAGGCAAAAGGAGGTTCAGGCCTGATTAGTTCTTTGGTGAGACACTCCAGTGTATATCAGCCGCTATACAGTATATTGAAAGGCTCTGCTTTTTACTAGAATTGTGTGATTAAAGTAATCTTGCTGCAGGGCTGTTTCAGCATCACTTTTCCAGCTTAAATTGTCCCAGGAAAAAGGTGCAGTGACAAAGGCTTATCCTGAATGCATGTATACTGATCACTAAGGCTAGACCGTTATTTTTCTCCATATTTATACGTACATTTAGTCACTCTTTCCATTAAGAGAATATAAAATTTATATCGGTTAGGATACGTTTTATTAAATCTTATATTATTCTGAGGATACATTCCAACAAACTAATTCAGGGAATTCCAGGTATAACTTTTGACTAACAAAAACTTTAAACTTGAAATCTTGATTCTATGCATTTTAATAAAATCGATTAATGCAATTGATGGGGAGTACATTATAATAATTTCCTGCTATTTTTAGTTAATACAATTAAATAAAAAGCTATTTGAAATCATTCTTCTGCCCCCAGCAATGTCCCAGTTTTTCTGTGAAACTTTCAATTAATATTTGGGGAGTTTAAGTGTTACATTTCAGATTTTTATTATTTTTTATTTATTTTAATTAATTTTTATGCTGCTTCTCTCCACTACAAGGTGACTCTGATTATCAGTCTGATTGTGCTCATTTACTATTGTTTAGGGAATGGTGATTTTAGAAGAATGTTCAGTCCCAAAAGACATCTTGAAGAAACGTACACAATTACCAGATCAAGAGGCATTGAATTCTACAGGAAATTCACAAGCTTTCCTACAGAGGCAGGATGTTTGGCCAGAACATGATTTTGAAATGTCACCCAGCAGTCCAACTTTGCTTCTTCGTAATATTGAAAAACAGGTAATTAAATGAAACTAACACAATGTACAGTAGTTAATATATTTTAAAATTAATTTATCTTTTAACTCATAATCCATAAAAATACTACTTTTCTAAATATTTCTCCCAGATGAAAAAGTGGTGGCAATATAGTTAGCAGGCAATGTATTAGGTTTACTTAGTAGGAGGGGAGTTTAAGGAAGATTCTAGATTTGAATTGTACTTATCTCTTTATATCTTCATTAATTTTCTGTAAGGATGAAATATAATAGTGCTTAGCAATAGCACTTATATACCAATTCACAGTGCTTTACAGCCCTCACTAAGTGGTTTGCAGAGTCAGCATATTGCCCCCAACAATCTGGGTCCTCAGTTTACCGACCGCGGAAGGCTGGAAGGCTGAGTCAATCTTGAGCCGGTCTGGATCAAACTGCTAAACTGCAGGCAGCCAGGAGTTGGCGGAAGTAGCCTGCAGGACTGCATTCTAACCATTGCGCCACCATGGTATAACTTCTGCTTATACCATGTTGAAGGTCTTTATTGGTAAAATACTTATCAGTGCAAAAAGAGAAATGTTTCAGATTTATAGAGAAAGAGAATTACAATCCTTGACCTTGGCTTTTCCTTGAACTTTACAGGTAGTACTCAATTTAAGATTAGCAACTGTTCAAATATGCTTCTATCAGAAAATTACCTTAAGTCAATCATGTTAGCAGCCATAATGTAGCCCTCAAGATCTGAGTGATTATTTCTCAATAAGGAATATGGACACCACAGTTGTAATTTGTTTTGGTTTTTGCATATATCAATGTCTTCTAGATTTTCATAAATCTTTTTAGGATTTGAATTTGGTCTTTATGGTCTTTATTATTTTGCAGGGCATTTTAAAAATTCAAATTAACTCTTCGCTTAATATTGGTATAGTTATGAAGCATGGAGTTTAGGTATAATATGGACACAACTGATTTCTTTAGTTAAGCATTTGTAGTATATAAATTGAATGTATTTTTTTTCTCCCTCTACCATTCAGAGTGCTCAGCTGAGTGAAATAATAAGCAGTCTGATTGCTCCCCTTAATCTATCTCCAACATCATCCTCACTTTCTTCAAAAACCTGTAAACAGAATGAATTGGTTAATGGTATCTCTTTAAGGTAGGTAGCACGTCAAAAACTAACAGGATAACTTTAGGGTAAGTTTAGCATATATGGGCATATGTATAAAATGACAGCATTACTTTGACTAAACATCATCAGAGAACTCCCCTCCTCCCAAAGAAGATACTGAAAGATTCACTTTTACTCTTACAATTTGCTGCTTCCAAAGAACTCAGATAATAGAAAAATGTTAACAAATAAAAGCAGGATGGGTGACTATAGGCCAGTTATTCTGTCTCAGCCCAAGCCACTTCATGGGATTGTTGTTATAGGGGAAATAGGAGGTGGAAGGAGTATTAGGTATGTTTGCTGCCATGAGTTATTTATAAAAATAAAGGTGGGAAATATTTTTTTAAAAAAAATACTGCAATTATTCAATAATTCAGATATGCAGTCATTGAGTAAACTCCAAACTCCGGCAATGGGGTAAAGTCGCGATATGTCGTGCGACGTCACGAGTTTGACATGCCTGCCCTAAGCAGAATTAGCTATTCAGGAAAATCTAGAAAAAAATCTCAAAACTTCAAATAAGTAATATTTACTAAAATAAATTACATACCAAAGAATTTCAGTGGCTTCCATGTTTCAAGAATGATCCCTATATAGAGAAAAAAAATTCCAAATCCTCTTGCTCTTTTCATTTTCTTCCTGGCCGTTTAACTGCTTTACCCCTTCTTTTCTATCAGCTGGTTTATCTCCATCAAGGGGTTTATTGGGAGTAGTATTATCTTTGCTATCAATTTGTTTTTCAGAGAAATAAGTGGGCAGAATTTTGACGCTTGTGAATGCTTAATACACACACACATACACAGATGGGCAATTCGGAAATAAACCATTTGGTTATCAATGTCAAGACACTCGCAGATACAGAACTTTTATTATACACATTAGAAAACTACAACATTACATTACTTTTCAACATAATCGCCATTCAAAATGAGGCATTTGTCATAACGTCTTACAAGGTTTGAAATTCCTTCTGCAAAAAAATCTCCCACCTGGGAATGAAGAGACCCTGTAACAGTATTGTGAAGCGCATTGTCATCGTCGAAGCAGTGCGACACAGGACACTGTTTCATGTGCCTGAAGAGGTAGTCGCTCGGCGCCAAATCTGGGCTATGGGAGGTGATCAAAAACATCCCAACGGAACTGCTTCAAAAATTCTTGGGTGCGTCTAGGTGTGCAGACGAGCATTATCGTGAAGCAACTCCACACCGAAAGTCAGCATGCCCCGACGTTTGTTATGGATGGCTTGTCTGAGTTTTCGTAACGTTTCACAGTAAACTTCTGAACTGATGGTCGAACCACGCTTCATGAATTTCAGTAGCAGTACTTCTTTGGCATCCCAGAACACTGTTGCCATAACTTTTCTGGAAGACAATGTTTGCCAAGCTTTTTTGGGTTTCTTTGGTGACTGTATGACATCACACCATTGATTGCTGTTTGTTTTTGGGGTTCACGTACAACACCCAGGTCTCATCGCTGGTCACAATTCTGTTAAGAAATTGTTCTCCTTCCTCAGCATAACACGTGAGAAAGTCCAAAGCAGAACCCATTCAGTCTGTTTTGTGCTCCTCAGAAAAGAGTTTGGTACCCAACAAGCACAGAACTTGTGGTATACCAAATTTTCTGTCACTACCTCATACAAAACAGTCCGAGAAATTTGGGAAAAATGTAAAGAAAGTGCAAATATTGTGAACTGACAGACTTCACGGACCTTTTGTCAATTTCCTGCACAAGTTCATTGCTGACTACAGACGGGCAGCCACTTCTTGCCTCATCGTGCATGTCAGTTTGTCCATCTTTAAACATGCGACACCATTGATGTACAACACCTTCACTCATCACATTTGGTCCGTAAACATTCACAGTTTGATGAATCACAGCTGCCGAAAGTTTTTTTGCACACAGGAATTGTATTACTACACACGCTTCACATTTAGCAGGAGTTTCTATGTGAAGTGCGTGCAGTAATACAATTGATCTAGCGGATGAGTCAACTGCAACACAACCTCTCCTTCCACTCCTCACTCCCTACTAAACTACTGCGTACGGTGCCATAGGACGGGCGTCGCTATCCCCGCCTATTTCTCGCACATGCTAAACAGAAGTTTATTTCTGAATTGCCCTTGTATGTATATGAATATGTATGTTTAAAATTTAGATAATCTTGCAATGGATTTACATTTGTTCATTCTCCCCTCCCTCAGTCACAGTGGATCTTCCTCACCTGCAAAGCAACTTGCTGACCTGGAGGTGGAGTCACCTCATTCACACTGCAGAGATAAGAAGCTCAAAGAAGCTTCTTTACTCTGGTGGCTTTTTCACAACTTAAGGAGAGGGACCTTTTTGGTGCCAAGAACTGTGGGGAGTGGGAAGTCACTTTGAGCCATGTGACTCAGCAAGGGGAATTAGGACCAAATGCAAGTACATTATGGAGATACTCACAGTGTGTAGAAGAAGATGGATGAATTTTTCATGGGAGAAGGAAACTAGAGGCACTGGAATCTGTTCCATACCAAAAGATTCAAAATCTCATTATTTACAATTCATGCTGGAATGTAACACAATATATCTGAATAACAAATATTATTTATGCATATATTAATTAAACTAAATATAAGAAAGAAGAATGTATGAACCAAAGAACAACTATCATAGATCCTTAGAGTTGGAATTTATCTCCTGTAGTCCAACAGTTTGCTCAATGCATCTGCTAAAATGTTATTCAACAATTATTTGAAGACTTCCTGTGAAGAGGAATTTAACACTTAATGAAGCAAACTATTACAGTGACTGATAACTCTACTATCAGGAAATTGCTATTAATTCCCAACCTGAATCTACTTACCTGTTGTTTCAGTGCATTTTTTCTTGTTCTGTCTTCAGGACAAAAGAAAACAAGACCAATCCCTTCTTTATATTACTTTAATATATCTGGTAACACAACTGCTATAATTCATAAAAATCAGTTTCTTAATTCTGATACAATTATGATTTTTTTAAATTAATATGTTTAATATTAATTGTAAGTTAATATGTAGTGTGAGTTTTTTAATATTCTCGACAACCTGGAATAATAATAGGTATATTTCAGAGAATCAGAGAACAAAGAAGAAATTTCATCTTCTAGTAGTTGCCTGGCTGATCAACAACATCTAAAGAGAAGAAGGAAAGAAAAGATGAAACTGAAAACACCTACTGTTGCTCTGATGAGCACATCTGCTCGCACTAGACCACTTCTGAGTTTCCAGAGGAGAAAGCCATATAGAATGAATACAGCATTTACTTTGAATAACCAGGTACAGATGTTTTTTTCCCCTTTTCTTTAATATAGTGTAAAGATTCCACCCAATATATACATCAATATGTCAATCCCAGTATGTTTGTATGTATGTATATATATAATTTCTGTTTTTGTGAGAGCCTTGAATATGTAGGATAAATGTGAGGCTGGCTATACATAAGACTTTCATATATCTTGCAAATGTCATATTTTAATTAGCTTCAGTGAAAGAACAAATATTATTCATATTATTCTGTTCTTCCTTAAAGTAAAAATTAAAATGCAAAACCAAAATTAGGCATATATTGCAGAAGAGTACCTGCAATTCTATCCAAAGAATATTTAAATTGTTATAAATAAAGATAGTCTCAGAAACCATCTGCTGTTTTGCAGTTAACATTCCTAACTTTCGCTTTCATTTTTTAAAATCAAAAGTCAGAAAAAACATTAATTTACTTCTTCATAAGTTCTTCAAGCAATCTTATTTATCAGCTTGGAAGCATTTTATCATTTTGTCAGATTCTGTGTAACTTTTTTAGAAACTGCTTAGTTCTTAGGATGATTGTCATGCATGAAACACAAAAATCTACCCATAACAACATTTTATTGATTAGCCATAAGGCCATATCACAATACAGAAAAATTGAATAGGTCTATCCATAACAAAACAACTAAAAACAAAAACTTGATTCATGTAATCAAAAACTTGATTACTTTACAGGTTACCTGAATTATATTGACATATACGGCTTTCAGTTGCACTGTTTTATTCAAAAAGGGGGCTATTTTATTTTTAATATTTGTATTCTGTCTGCACATAAAATATGTTCTGAGATACAGGTCCTATGGAGACAATAATATTCAAATAATATACAATATATATTATATCCTCAGTTTCTGGTATACCTCAAATACATGCATATTTATGATAGGGGATTCAACCAAACCCAAAGGTGCTTTTCAAAAGGCAACTGGACTTCGTTTGGTTTTTTTCTTGAAAACGTTTTGCTTCTCATCCAAGAAGCTTCTTCAGTTCTGACTAAATGATGGGGAGTAGAAGAATCCTTCTATTCCTCACCATTCAATTAAAACTGAAGAAGCTTCTTGGATGAGAAGTGAAAAGTTTTCAAGGTAAAAACAAAAACAAAGTCCAGTTGCCTTTTGAAAAGCACTTTGGGCCCTGAACTGGATGATTGAGAATCTCCATAGAGATTCAACTAAACCTTCCATATTTTACCAATGTTTTGGGTTGTTCAAATCTCACGTGGAAGATGCTTGGGCATTTTTGTAATTACATATTTTTCAATTTCAAAATTATACTTGTGGCAGCTCAACCATCTTGGCATATCAACCTTACTGAGCATCTTTGTGCATCAGTTTTCTTAATTTGTCCAGACACAACTAAACGGGAGATAGGAAGTCCACTGCTTCTAATACAACTTTTTAGTTATAAATACTAATTGAAATTTATTCTATCAGGGTATAATTTTTGAGAATATCAGTCTCCATAAAAGTAATTTTCCACCATGTTTTATACCCTTTAAGTTTTAAGTCAATACAAAACGTATACAGTGTATTCCCAACTCAGCTTTAACCATGATAGCTTTTAGAGTCCTTTTAGCCATATCCAATGTACTCAAATGACATGAATGTGCTTGTTGTAAAAGTAATACATGTTTAGTCCCATATAACTAGATATAAGAACATGGGCTTCATTAAGTTTAACAGCTAATTCATGTATACTATCTTTGTAAGGGAGCTGCTGTAATGATGGAGCCATGATGCACTCTCAGAAAAGACTCATATATAAGGAAAAGTGCTAAGTAGTTCTTTTGGCTCATCATCTAAAAACCTTTTGTAAAGACAGTAAGCATTTGACTTAGAAAAAACTAATTGCAGTAATCTAATCTTGAGGTTATCACGATGTGTGCCACCAATTCTCCAGCACAGGAGATGGAGAATCCACCAATGGGTTTGGTCTGTCTTCCTGCCAAATAGATCAAGTCAGTCAAACTTGCCACGCCCGTCCTGGACTAGGACACACCCAGTCTTGACTTGATCTTCAGCCCAGACAGACGTGGCAAATTTGGCTCCCAGCATAGGCAAATAGATCAGACTTTTATTGGTGAAATCTCCATTCCTTCTACAGCCTCCTAAGAAGTGCTGGGATCAGCACTACCTAGACTGGGCTGTCGGAGACTTGAACTCCCCTTTTTTCCTTTAAGGCAGAACGGAGGCTTCCGTTCTCCCTGCTCTCACACAGACAGTGCTGGGATCAGCGCTGTAGCTGCCACCCTCCCCTCCTCCTCTTACCCATTCCTCTTTATTTGGTTGGGCAGTTAAGGCAGAACGGAGGCTTCCGTTCTCCTTCCCTTCATACTGGCAGCGCTGGGATCAGCGCTGTAACTGCCACCCCTCCTCCTCCTCTTACCCATTTCTCAAAAGGGCAGGGGATTCTTCCCCTCCGATCTCAGGCCTCACGGGGGCCTTCCCGAGTGCTTGAACAGTCGTGGCCACCATTTTGGCAGCCGCGTGAAGATCCGCTGTGCCGAATCAGCTCGTCCTCAAGGGCATGCAGCCTGGATCGCTTCTGCTCGGCCTGCCATCGTCTATCGGGTGGTAGACCATGGAATAGCCTCCCATTCGTGGCACACAGTTCTCCTGGCCAGAAACGGTCTCCATCGTCGCGGCCGCCATTTTGAGGGCCGTATGGCTGCCACTATCACAATCTGAGGAGAGGCCGGTGGAGGGGAGGGGGTTCCTCTTATCGCTTGCTTCACTACCATCAACGAGGTACACACTAGAATCCTCATGGCCTTGCTCCCTCCCACAAATCATTTCAGGGGAGTTGCAAAAGGCCGCTGCCACCATTTTAGGTTGGCCGGTGCATCACTACACAGAGGCCTCTATAGGCCCCTACATCCCTTAGTTTCTCCAGGATACACAGTCTCCCCTCTTCAATTAGCCTCTGTGTGCTCTAAAGGCACAGTTCCTTGGGCCCAGTTACAGACCTCAATGTGGTGCTTCCCTCCTGGCCATCATTTAGCGGGCTGTACATCGGATCACGGTCATTAAGCGATTGCTCTTGCCGCTCCCGCAGATTCACTCGCCGCGCAAACGTGCTGACACTCATCAACTCACTGGCCTTGTCACACGGCGCCCTCTACAAGCAGGCTGGCTGTTATCTCTCACCAGATTTTGCCACGGCCGTAGACACGACCAGACCCCCTGGGTCAATTACTGGTCAGAGGAGCAGGGTGAACCCTAGTATCCCCCTGCTCCAACTGCATTAGTCCAATCCGCCAATTTATCTGCTGCCAGAGTTCCCTCTCAGCACTACCTGAGATAACTCACATCAGGATGGAGGAATCCACGGCTCCCAAACCTAAGGAGACCACCCCTCCATCCACTAGCCAAAAAAGGCACAAGTTCTCCAACCAGGGGGCAGCAGGCAGGATTAAGGCCAAGGCTAAGACCATTTCCAGAAAGAAGCCTTCGAAAGTGGCGGAGAAGCAGGCCAGCAGGAGTCACCAGGCTTTGGAGAAAGAATTTTCCAAAGCGCAGAGGCAGGCCCAGGCGGAGGCGGAACAGACAAGGGCCTCGTTCTTTGATCTTCCGCTGGGGCCCTCGACCTCTGCCCAAGGGGTCTGGGCACCGGTGGGGATTTCCACACACACCCTTCTCCTGGGGGGAGCAAGGTCCCACCATTCACCAACCAACAGTGGCTCCGTGGATCTCTACTATTTATTAAATATTTTTTCAGACTTCTTTCTGAGCAAGAAAAAAGATGCCCCTTCTTAAAGAGTCACATGAACTTTAATGAGTAGATTCCTTTTTTAGGTATACAACATCTATTGCAAGGAAGAAATAGAGGGAAAGGCACATCAGGTATTAGTTAATTTTTTGCCTTGCCAGAATAGAAGAAATCAGGTGGAATCAAAACTTGATCTTGGTAGGAGTAAAATTAGTCTTTAATATGGATCCTACTTTGGATAAGGCCTTTTCCTATTTCTGCTATTTGAGATCTGATGATGACATGTGAAAGGACCTATTTCAGTGTTTTCTGTTGATTAGCAGATTCAACTAGAAAAACAGAGTTCCTAAAATATTTAGGTTTTAGGCTATCCATCTTTGCAGTGAAGGCTGAGCTGGAAATACCCCCAATACAGAGTCATTTAACAATTATTTAATTGCTGGTTGCAGAATCCATCAGTGGACTCAGACTATAAAAACTGTCTTTTGAAGAGCAGATTTTCAACAGTTCTCCTGCACTTGTGCTTGTCATACTGTTTCACAATAGGGGTTTTCTGTTCACTTCCCAGTTCAAACAGATCTGAGAGCTAGTTAAAGTTTCAAAAGCCCCCGGATTTCACTTCCCATGATGACACAGCATATCTTAAATGTACCAAGTCTTTGAAGAGGCTGGCACAACATAAATCAGATTTCCAGGTAGAAAGCGTTTAATAATTGACATGCCTCAGCACCTTAGAAGACCTTTCTCTAGACAGTTTGAACCCCGCAATTCTATGGTAAAGTATGAGAGATTTCCTGGAGTACTTTTTGCAGAAAGATCTTATGTTTTTCAAAAAGATCATATATTTGTGGTGGTCCTGCTATTCAAGGTGCTGCTGTTACTCTGTAGCAAGAATTAATTGCCTAAGCCTTTTTAATAATCTAAGCCATCCTGGAACAGTCCAAATAAATTGTACTTTTTGCAGAGAATAATCTTGCATAAGGAGGACTGTGTCTTTTATATCAAAGACCATCCAGAAAAGGATGGATCATGTAGAATAGATTTGGGTTGATTGCAGAGACGACAATATATTATGAAGATGTTCTACTTTTATCTTAGTACTATTTTTATAGTTTTTTAATATGGTCAAATTACTAATCAATGCATTAATTGTTGTTTAAGGCATTATAATATTTAAGAAGTGATAATGAGCCCTTTGTATTGTGTTTGAAAACAGATTATGATATAATAATAGTGCTATATGTTCTAGAATGCTTTCTGTGGTTAAAAATTCTCACTTCTACTGGTTTCTAGTATCTACGTGTTCTTCCTGCATCAATTCAGAAAGCTTAGATTGCCCAAAGATCTGCTGATACAGTTCTACAGAGGAATTGTTGAGTCTGTCATTTGTACCTCAGTAACTGACTGGTTTGGCACTGCAACCAAACAGGGCAGATACAGACTTCAATGGATAGTTAGGAGTGCAGAAAAAACAATCACAATCAGCCAGAAAGAGGGCTGAGAAAATATCTACAAACCCCTCACATCCTGGACATAATGTATTTCAACTTCTCTGCTCAGGATGCCACTATAGGGCATTGCGTGCCAAAACTACTACCTAAAAGATAGGTTTTTTTTCCTCCTGTGCCATCACTCTGCTGAACACTTAATTCCACAATACTGTCTCATTTTTTATCTTTTCTCATCCTTACATGTTTCTTACTATCTTCTGTTGGTTTCTTATGATTTAGCGATTGTTGTTTATTATGATCTATGGCCTATTATTTGCTATTTATATGTACACTGGGAGCTTATGCACCGGATACCAATTCCTTGTGTGTACAATCACACTTGGCCAATAAAAAAAACTCTATGATTCTATGATCAGCTGTTAGGAATTTCTGGAGAAGAGAGAGGCAAAGTTTGAGCATATTAATTAAACAACAAAAATAGTTCTTTTGGTTCAGCAGGATCACAACATATAAAGTGATAAATTTAAAGTTTCAGTAACATTATTAAAACATTTATTACATGTAATATGACTTTTATTAAAACTTGTATGTTTGTATAGTCACAAAAAGTTAATAATTGTATTATATTAATTCAGTTTAGATATGTTGCTTGGTAATTGTGGCTAGATCCAGTGTCATTAGAAAAGAAATACAATTAACACAGTTTAATTTCATTGTAATGTCATTATTTAAGAAAAAAGCTGAGCACAGATTAACTCAAACAATGAACTGTTTGTTTTTTAAGGGGAATATAGCCCATTAAAATCTAATAGGACCCTGTTACTGAAGACGTGATTTATTTTATTTGGATTTGATTTCAGTTTTAGCTCAGTTTTAGGATTGGTCAAATTATTCCATTTGTTCAAATCTATATGCCATTTTATAGGCTTTGCATCATGGCAGTACCTTGTATAATACAGAAGAGATTGCAAGCAGCAAAAGAAATAGTTACGAGTTTAGCATCAATTCTAGTATATGCAAGCAACTCATGTTGGAACTGGACACATCATTCCATCCTGTTTTATCATTTCCTTCAGGTAAGTAAGTTACCTACTATTGCATGGGTAATTATTCTAAGAATCTTAATATAATATAAAAATCGTGAAAGAACATTTTCTTTAAGCTGATTGTTATGATAATTAAGTGTCTAATTAGTTTTGTCCATGTACTGGAAAGTCAGTACAATCAACAAATATTATCTAGTATGTAAGAAATATAGAGTAGGAAAGCAGTTGCTTATTCCAGTCAGAATCCAAAGTAATGGTTTTGATATATTCATAGTTTGCATGGTCTATATTTGAACACATCCAATATAAGGACTCATATCATTTTTTAGTTAATTGGTTCCATTATAGAATTGTTTTCATTGTTAATTCTTTTTCCTAATGTTCAAAGCAAATTTCACTTTTTGTACCTTATTCTGTAGTCTCAGTCACTGGGATGATAGAGAATGTGTGTCAGAGTCTGGATGTTACATCAGAATAATGCTGTCATATCCTCAGTTTTCTCAAAACCGAACAGTTTCCACAATTTCTTTGCATAGGTCTTGGCATTCTTATTGCTATTATTTGAACCTGTTGATCAGTTGATCTGAACCCAGTGCATAAGAACTGGCCATAATTTTATAAATAAGTGACGACTAGCAGTTGTACTTTATGGATTCCATTCTGTGAGATAAAAATGTAATTCTGATGTATCAAGCAAAAATCATACTTACTGAACAATATTTGATCAATTTCAACAATGTTAGTTGATTCTTGGCTGATCTACTTAGACAGATGAAGCATTGGTAAAAGCAATTATAAAGAAATTAGATCAGTACTAGCTTAATTCTGCCCTTGGAGAAACAGTGTTTTGAGGAAGTGCTAGTGGATGGCTATGGCCTTTATTTATGTGATATTGTAGATTTCCATCATAGCTCCTGTAAATTTTAACATCTATATAAAACTGCTGAAATGTACACAATATTACAGTGTTCTACCTCTTGTTTCTGC